CTCGAATATCGAATAAGCTTTCTGATAAAAAAAAAGCATCACACACAATCATAGTAAAACCAATATACTGCACTCAGAATCTAAAACAGTGATTTTTAACGAGCGTGGTAGATTTAAAAGAGGTGTTGGTGAGGGAAAGCGATGAGTCATGGACAAAAATTAAGTTGTAGATTCTTTCCTTCTCGTCAATTAGTCTAACCCAAAATGGATTCAGCGTTGTTAAATTTTTTGGCGAAATAAAGAAACCGGTTAGATACTTACAACAAAAGTGATCTACATTTAGCTTTAATCAACATTAAAGCAGATACCTCAACATTAACAGCTACTCATCAGACTCAGGCTCAGGGCAGTCACTAAAGAGCTCTTATAAAATATAGCTGAAGTAAAATCTTTTTGTAAAGTAGAGTAAGAATAAATCATTTACTATCTTCTTAAAATCGAAGTTTTTATTTTAATTTGAAATACTAATCTATATACTTACGAAAATACGAAAATTTATTGATTGGTAGGAGGGGAGGGGGCGTTAGCAATTATTTGTCTCGAAAAAGAGGCACTAAATCGAAAAAAGTTAAAAACCACTGATTTAAACATAATAATAATACGATTTTATTTAGTCATGTGTATGATACGTGCTTGAAATTATATGTTTCCGTACTCAACATCGTGGATTTTTATGAAAGTTATTTTTATTTTTTTCATAATTTATTATTCAATACGTATATATATATATGTTTTTTGCACACTAATATAATTTCCTGCATATATGTTAGGGAATAAATTAGTAACAATTTTGCATGCATACATATTTAATTTATGTGCATACACAATCATGTTTTTTTCAGGTTTTTATGTGATATAATCAAACTACTTTTTATTTTTATTTGATTTCGATTAAAGTTATGTTTACTACCAGATTTGTTATTATAATTTTATTTTTGAAATCACGGATTTACTCAGAAGCTCTATACATTTTATTGAAGCTGAATACGAGTGTCAGTTATGGACCGAAGAAATTTCCATTGAACCTCCTGAAGTAAATATTATTAATGATGTAGATTCAGTGGATGTATTTCAATAAACAGAGCATTTCTAAAAAAGGTAATTAATGCAATTAACGACATTTTTTTGCATCATCGGTGAAAAGAGGCTTCAAAAAAAATACTAATCTTTTAACAAAAGTTCTTCATATTTAACGTAAATTAAGTGTTTAAAAAATTTTACTCATCCCTACTTGAAGATATGTTTTTTTTTTTTTTTTTTACATAGTCAACTGTATTGTAACTGATAAGTAAGTAGATAATTAATATGCTCGTTAATAACAAAAAATGACAAAAAAACGCTATCCAACAGAGGACAATAAAAAAAAATCAGATTTTAAAACTAAAGACGTCGTCAGCAGCATTTCAACAAAACAACTTTTTCACCTTTTTTGTAGCGTATACAGTAGGATACACCCATTTGCAAAAATGAGCCTAATTCTAAATTACTGTCGTAATTCCAAAAAGTTTTATGTTATTTTCAATTAGAACAAATGATAACGCATCATTTAGAAGCACGTAGACTTAAAAAATTACACACGTAGTGCTGATGAAAATATAACGAAATTTTCTAGTTGAAAAAAAAGTCTTATCTTTATCAGATTCCCATACGAAATACAGTCATTTCGGAGTTAAGATTTTTGCGACGAAAACATTCCTTGCTTCTCCTAGACATTTGCCATTTTGGAGTCTACTGTCGAGAATTAAACCGACTATACTATACATGCACCTTTCCGATTTTTAGGTTCTGAGTAAAGCGAGGAATGTATAGGTTTTACAATGATTTTTTAAATTCTGAATGAAATGAAGAAGCTTATGGTTTTACAAAAATGTTTTGTTTTTTTTTTATCAGTGCACAACTTTTCTATTAGAAGACTCGCTCTGATTTTTAAGTGAAGCACCTTTTCTAAAAAGAAATCGGTGTAGGGGAAGTACTTTAAAGAGGTCATTTTTCGATTTTTCCAAGAATTTTCTATCAAATTTGAATAACCGGAAAAAAAATGAAATGTACGATGATTTTTCCTGTGGATAACTTTTCTACAAGCAATTTGGCTCCGATTTATAATGATAGCAATCTTTCTGAAAAGAAATTTGACTGGGAAGATACTTTAGAGAGATCATTTTTTGATTTTCTTAGAAGTTTTCTCAATAAATGGGAAAAACCGGAAAAATGGGCAAATATAGGTATATATAAAAAAAAATTATTAAAGATTAAAGAAAAGATTTAACCCATACGTAATTATTTTACCATAATATGACATATATATTATTTATTAACATAGCACCACTAACAATAGTGATATATAGCTCACAGATATACTTCTAATCCTCGTCTATATCCTACCTTCCCAACTTCCCATCTACAACAGTGGCTGCACCCGTTCCCGTTATCCTAGGACCGCTTTTTTTTTTTTTTACTGTGCCGTGTTAAAAATATATTACACATTAGTACTTGGTTTTGGTTGCATTTAATCTATTTGACGTCCGCAGCAGTGTAAGCAAAAGTATAATCGTATAAAAATGTATAACAATTTCTCTCGGAATCACTGCGAACCACACGCAGTTAACTGATCGGCGGATGGCCCGTCCCACGGGGTTTCCCGTATATTCGCACGCCGCCGTGTATTATACTTATATATTATGGATTAAATCGCGATGCATTACCGTCTGCACGTCGGTTTTAAAACTTGTGGTATGTTATTATTCTTACACTCCCTCCCCCTCCGGGAATTGAATCGTATGATACTTCCACCATTAAAGCTGTGAATATACGGCGAGAACGTTAGCCAGTATTGTAAGTTGTGAATTTCGTTCGGCTACGTTTCGGCTACGCGTTCATATCTCAGAGGTGATAGGTGTATAATAGGCTGTTTTGATTTTTAACTTTTTTTTTTTCGAATTAAGATTGGAAATTACTTCCTTGTGATGTGAAACTAATCCGAAAAAAAATTGAGCCAAAAAAAAATATTTAAAACTTCCTCATCGCATATTTAGTTTTTCCATTCAAATAACATAGGAAAGTAACAATTCTTTCAATTAAAACATATTTATTCATTAAGTTCAAAAGTTACGAGGTAATACATAATTTTTTTAAAAGATCACAAAAAAATAACATACGTTCACTTGGAATCGAGTGAAATTCTATTGTTATAAAAACAGCTAATTTTTAGAAATCTATACAAATTGAGTTTTTTTAACTTTTTTATACATATTATTAAGTTGTATAACTCAGCCACTTTTAGGCCAAACAATTTTCAAAAAAGATTACTTTTGTAAGTTATGAAAATACCTTGATATCGGTCCTTGGTTATAGATCAGCTTCATATACTATAATGAGTTAAAAATGTAAAAATAAAAAAACATATTTCTACAAATGAACTATTCTTATAACAGTAAAATTTCACTCAATTCCAAATTAATTTTATGGGTTTTTTTTTTTTTTTTTTGATCTTTAAGAAAAGACTATGCACAACCTCGTAATTTTCGAAATATAATTTAATTGAGAATATTTTTATATAAACTTTCCTATGTTATTTAAATGGAAAAACTGAATATGCGATGAGAAAATTCTAAACATTTTTGTTTTTTTGATAAGTTTGAGACCACAAGGAAATAATATACAGTCTTTATTCTAAAAAGAAATGTGAAAAATCAAAACAACTTAGCATATAATACTACAGCTGTTTAGTACACAGGGAGAAAATGGATTAGGTTAGGTTAGTTAGTTTTACTATGATGCACAGTTTTTTTTTTTTCTAACGTCTGTTAACAATAATTATTCCGCCAGAAATCTTGTTCTAATCGAAATGACAAGACAAATGAAAAATGACAAGAGAGCGAACCAGACCCGCGATCCGCTCGTTTTATCACTTCCGATTGGTCGCGCTGTAAATTAGCCTCCGAAACGTTCATCGATAATTACCTTACGCTTTAACCTCGCTGCTTACCTTTTACCGACCGAGTAGTATAAAATATGTTAAATTTACACATACAAAAATTAAAATGATCCATTTTTTTTTTATTTTTTTAGTATTTTTGGGGATAAAATCAAAAATATGAGAAAATAAATTTTAAGTTGACTTAACAACAAATTCAAATTTGTAATCAGAATTCGTATGGTTTCACTAAATCGTTGGAAATAGAACACGTGTAAACATGAGACATACAACAAAAACAGAAAATTACCGCTTCCCATCTCCTTATGTATTTTAGATTCTAAGCGGAGCGAGGAATGTATTGGTTTTACAATGATATTTATTTTATTTTTTTTTTAATTTGTAAACAACTTTTTTACCAGAACTTTTTCTGAAAGGAAATTGTACTGGGGTGGTAAATTAGGGAGGTAATTTTCTTATGTTTCTAAAAGTTTTCCCAATAAACGAAATGTATTATTTTCATATCGTAAATGTTATGACCTTTCAAAACGTATATTACTGGATTCCGTTTAGAATCATTTTTCGTTGGCAATTATTCATTGCTACAGATTAACATTAAATTTCCTCTCTACCTTTTCAAATCCTCTCCTACAAAAGTGACCTCCCCATCGTGCGAGGTATGTCCGTTTATTTTTAACTATAAGCATAAAGGAGTATATCAAACAAGTCACCTCCTCGTGGCGCTTTATGGGTGCTAATGCTTTATGATTTTATTAAAATATTTCGAAAAAATATTGAAAAACACTTATTAGTAATTATGGACAAACAAGCTAATATTAAAAATAAATAATGTCGATGAATAGTTGCCGCAGTGTCAAAACGTAAAACTACGCCAAAAAAAAAAAAAAAAAGTGCGTTAAATTTGGACGAATAGAGGGAATTAATAATTTATCATAATAGTTGAGCGAAAATAAGCCTAAATGTTTAAACTTCCCGAGTGGGGATTTGCTGGGGACAGCGCGTGTTGTATAATTATCACATCATTAATTTAAATCATATTACTGAGACAATTTTTCCGTTTATTACACAGACGAACCGTTGGAATAACGCAAAATCGAAATATTATTCAAGGAACGAATCGATAAAACACTAATGTCACAAAAACTGGTGTGGCTCGAAACAGACGGCGAATACGCGCGTGTACACTCAAAATCGTATTAGTGGATGACGACGAGTGTAATAAAATACGTCTCGTTTGTTTTTGATTTTGTTTTTTATGAATATCATTAACGACATATAAATTCGGAATTCTGCAGGGTGCTAAGTGAACACGAGTCGAACACATTACAACGTTTCCCTGGAAAAGCTACAACTATATACAGCGGACAAACGTACTTGAAAATCAATCTTTTTCGCAGTCTCGAAATTTCGGTTGCGATTACGTGTAGGTACGGCGGAGACGTACTTATACCTGGCTGAGCTTTTGTTTTTTGGTGATTTAAACAATTGTTTTTAAAAACGTTATAGACGAAAAACAATTAGTTGTAGGTAACTACATTTATCTAAAAAAGTCATTGCGGGTCCGCAAAGAAAAAATAAACAGGAAAAATAATACAGGTATAAAATACAAATTAACTCTTTTATGGTATATGTTGGTAAATTAAGAGTCAATAATATATATATTGATAAACTATTAGACAATTATAGAAATATTTCTTGCGTTATACAGCTCTGTTTACCAATGACCTTACCCTTCAGATACAAACCGAATTATCCTATACAGAGTGATTTTTTAGTGAACCGATAATTAATCGTTGTAAAATCGTTTAAGCTTTATTTTAAAATCGTTTTTAATTCTCTACACCTATTGCATACACCTTAAATCAGTAAATACTTGTTTTTAAAACAGGAACCCCTCCCCCCTTTTTTAAACACAGATTCGAATAGAAATGATTTTTCTAAAAATGTCGATATGCCTAACATTTATATCAGATTCAAAATGTATGAGTTTTAATAACAGTTTAAAATTTAGACCGGAGCAATAGGTAATAAAGGTTAATAAATTGCATACCTATCTATTTTTAAAAGATAAATTAATTACTCTTCCATACTCCTCCGATCTGAACTTTAAACGGTTAGATTAGGTTGGGTTACGTTAGGTAAACTCATAAACGGTAAATCTGCAAAATTGCATTACACTCAACTAAATAAATAAATAAATAAATAAATAAATAATGTTTAAAACAAGTATTATACTCGGTGTTATATTAATCACAATATTTTACAAAAACCTATGGAAATTAAAATGTTATATTAGGTGCCTATTATTGGAATTTAAAATTTTGTTCAAAATCCTCATCAATTGCTTAAGACTCTTTATTTATATATATACGGCACTAGCTTAACTGCAAAAACTTGCCAGTATAATATTATTAAAATATTAAATATTAATATGAATGTTTGTAATTTGAAGTCTTTTGAGTCTTGCTTTATACTACGTATTTACTTATGTTATAGTTAATTTTCCTTCTTTATTTTAGCCTCTTTTTTAGTTTTAATATTATATACTATATTTTTTTTATATTCTAACATCAATATGTTATTTTATGTAAGTAAAATTATTGTAATTGATAAGAATCGTTCCTCCAGCACAAGCTTGGCTTATAGGGGGTACTGCAATTTAATTTATGTATAGTGTCCAATGTATCAATTATTGTTTTTTGCGAAATATATTATTATTATGCATACAATAGTACAACATTTAGTGATCAGTCGATATTAAATCACACAATTGTGAATAAGTTTAGAATTTTCAAACTTAAGTCGATTGGCTTTTAAATAAGCAAAACATGTTTTTTTCGTGCATATCCGTCGTTTTATATAATTACTAGGGCCCGGAAGTTTATGCACTAAAAACAACCAAAATATGTATGCACTTATGAGCATAAAAATCTTGATATGTGCGCTTTAATATGCCCTTATTTTTTTTTAATTTATAAATATAAGGAAAAAAAAACATTATTACTTATCAGTTATGATATTACTCACGATTTTTATTTCAATTAGTCTAACTGGCAATTAAAAACATTATTTTATTAATTAATATACATTTTTAAATTTTACGATTCACAATGAACGGTTTTGAAAAACTCAAATTTAAACGACCGCCTGTTATATGCCAACATAATTTTGTACACCGAAAAGCTCTGCTCCGCGTCAACCAAAGAAATTGGTACGTATTTAAAATATAGTAAATCATCACAGGAAAAATCTTCCGCTAAATTATCCATCGTCATTTCTTCTCCCAGCATAATTTTTGAAATTTTGGATAGTGTTTTAAAGCCCAGGTTCTTTTAATAACTTGTTCAAATTTGTTATAAATTGAACAAATTACATTGGAACATTTTACAGTAGTTAATTTGTTTTCTACATTCTCCAGTTTTGATTGCGTCAGTTAAAAAAGTTCCCCCAGTTTCTAAACTTGTAATCGTATCTACGTAGCAATCATTGACATATGTTTTTCTCGGTGTAGATACAGATGGTATATCTTTATTTACGTATTTTTCAAAGAATGAACCAATATTCTAATTTTTCTAATGGAATATTTGATTTTAATAATGCTTCACATAAATCCTTGGAAAAATCAGATTTTCGTGTTGATGTAGTAGTAATCAGCTGTTGAGTTTTATTTTTATTTTGACGATTGAGGCTCTTAATGTTTTTCAGTGCCTAAGTGCCGAGTAACACTAAACCGTTTTTCGCACTTTACTTTTACTAAGCATGTCTTACAAAATAATGCACACCCGTCGAACGCGAAAATATGTTCACCGAATTCAGTAACGTAGGTTTTACCTCTATAAGTAGCTGATGTTTTTACTTTTGTTTTTACTGCATTTTAACACAATTTAATCAAAAAGTACGGACACTCTATAACACCTCAGGGAACGCATCAAACAATATAAACGAGAAATCCAGAACTGACTACATTCTACAATTTTACAAGAAGAAGAAAGAATCGTTATCGTAATGGAGAGTATCAGAACTTTTCTAAAAATAAACATATTGTCTATTGGCCGTTATCGGGCCGCCGTTCGCCGCGCCGTTATTTTATTCATTAATAATATATAAATAAACGAAAGAATCGTTATCGCAATGGAAAACATCAGAAATGTATTAATAGGTCATTTAGAAGTAATTTATTTTGTCGATTGCATAATATTTGACTCAAATATGCAGTTAATAACAAAAAAATTGTAAAATATGCGAATAAATAAAAGAAGAAAATCAGAATTATGCAGTTATAAGCAAAATAAAATGTTGCATATGGATTCGTAATTCAAATTTGTAGCTGATCTAGCAATTTTTTAGTCCATTCAGTAAAAACATGCAAACTCATGAACTTCCGGGCTCTGATAATTACCAAATAAAAATTGTTCTACCTTATAACATTAATCTATACATTATGTACGTATACCGGCGTTACGGTAACGGTCGCGCAATCACAATATTATAATTGATTGCGTTGAACTGGTGATGTTGAATAACGTAGTTGGTAATCAGTGATCGACGAAATGTGTTGCATTCGACAAATAATTAATCTCTCTGGGCTTACGAAATCGATATCGAATAATCGACAGTACCTACGGATATTATCAGTGTATCAATTAACACCTAACCGAGGTATGGGAGGCAATTCGAGTAGATACTGTTTTACTCGAACTGCTTCCTGCAGCAACCGGAGACAATTCGAGTGAAAATGATCGTCCGTCCGGATGTAGGACACGATTCGAGTGCGCTCCCGAAAATAGCCGTTAGAAGGTAAATGTCCGAGGGTGGAGGGGATAAATTATCCGTTTACCGAAATATAGTTTGGTACCTACACCTACCAATTGCGGCTGATGATTACACTAACGATATTGAGCGTATGTGTACACGACGCATATTAAGCGTACAGTGAATAACATTTATGCCGTGATATTTATATCGTGTACGCTCAGTGGCGAGAGTACCTACGTTTATGGAACCGCCAATTTAAAATGAAAATAACAACGCAAAAGACTGACCTGTATAAAGACGATCCGGCGACTCCTCCGCTGTCTTGACGAATGTATCACGGCAGCACTCGCTACTGATTTGACTTTATAATAATTACACTACGCGTGCCGGTTTTAACGTCATCGACGTTTGCGCCGTAAAATGGAAAAGAAAAACCACGAAATGCAATTACTCCGTTGTGTCAACCGCGCGCGCACGCGACGCTCGAACGCTCGTGAAAACGCGACCGGTACTACGGGGTTACCCGCGGAGGCCGCTAATTGGCGTACGTGCCGTTAAGCATAACGGGCCCGTGGCCGCTATTTTTCGCCAAATTCGCGGACTCGTGAAAAAAAAAACAATCGAACCCGTTCGCGACGAACACGAGCCCCTACGCATACATTATACAGGGCGCTTCGAACGAGGGCCAATGATCGCGCGGTTCTTCCATGAAACCGTACCTATAGTCGCGTTTCCGCGAAACGGTCGTCCGTCCGTAAAACGAAATAGCAATAATACACATTCGCGGTTGACAGTGCGAAATGGATACCTTATCTTTTACCGTGAAGAGTGTAGAGAACGTACAAAATCTCGGGCGTTTCGACTGATATTTCGTTATTATCGGACCGGTATCAAACTCGCCCCGTTGCCGCGAATTTACCGGTAAGTAGGTACATTTCGCCGGCATTTCTCGACGGCACGTCTAATATTGTCGGCGCGGTCGAAATAACGGAGACAAAACGAAAAAAAAAAATCACTACGTAGTAGACACTTAATATTATTGCAATCCTAAGCGAACATTAATATGTTGTACGGTCAGCGACTTCGCAACGAAAACTGGGAGACCGGGAACTTCGGGTAAATGCGAACAGATGCGTTTTGCAAATTTTTCCACGGATGTTATAAGTTCGAATATTATATGACCACGGTTCATACCAAAACAGTTCGCGGTAAACCGCGGTCCAAGAGGTGGCATAAAATGGTAGAAACTAGTATTTTCGAATAGTACATATAATCCGAAAAATGTTTTTATTTCTACATAATATTATTAGTATTGCTATTATTTTAGATTTTGAGCGAATTGAGAAATGTATTGGTTTTACGGTGTTCATTTATTTTTAAACCGTGTACACAATTTCTTCTAGAAATCTTGTTCCAATCAAAAATGAAAAGAGAAATTTTTATTGCATTTCGGCTCTAGCTGGTACTTTAATGAGCGAAAACTGATTCTTTAGATTAAAAATATTAAAAATAAGGTTGTCACTGGCAACCGTTTCTGTTTATTTATTTTGAGTTATTATTGTTTTAATTTTTTAATCGTTTTGAAACAATCGTTGTTGTGAAAACGCGCATTGTTTAAATAGCAATACGTTTGACGAAAATCGTTTTTCGTTAACAATGATTAATCGTTGTGTACAGATATAAATTAAATTTCCCTCTTTATCGTACCTTCCCAACTTCTCACCTACGACAGTGGCCCACCGGGGTAGTATGTGTCATTTTTAATTTTTTTCGTGATAAAGGTCACCTAACCGTGACAAAATATCGAGACTGCCAAACTGTTACGAACTGTTAACATTTTATCAGTAAACCGTTTGCTCTCGGTTTGCGATAATACTGTATAACCGTTGTTTCAGTTTCAACCATAGTCGCTACTACTGCAGTGACTGCACATAACTATTAATTTGCAGCAATGTAGCACAAAGCTAGGTATATTGTTTGAAAAAATTGTACGTTAATATCATGCTATTTCCGGTAAGAAATAGCAGTCTGCTGATGCCATTTATTTTATTAGCAGTTTACCGACTTGGTAACGAGCTGCATTAATCAAAACGGCCGCTGAGTTAATGTTGTAAATTATATTCACACTACAACCGATGTTGCGCTGTTGATTTTAATGTAAGAGTATATTGGCCTGTCGTCAAACTCAACGGTAAGAATATTTTGTATTCGTACGGTTTTTTTCTTTCGGTATTTCGATATTAGCAACTCGCTTGAAAATAAAAAATTTCGAAAAATACCAACGAACAAAAACACATCCGGCGCACTTAGTGTTCTTACCCGGGAGTTTGATGGCGGGCCGATATTAAAACGGTACGGCGCACAATCGGTCTGCGTACATACGAATGGTAACTAAACAAAAACTAAATAAAACTCAAATACTACCGACATTCGGCTGTATCACAACATTAACCGCGATATACAAGTATGTTATATACAGGCGTTTTAACTCTGAAGAACGGTAGCATTTAAAAGGCCATTATTCGTACGTTCGTTTTGTACTGTTGGGCGGGTATGCGTTCTCCCGAAAACCGTACACGGCCGAGTCTGAAACCGACCCCTGCGGCCACGGGGCGCACGTCCCCCGCCGGCAGTTGCGTCCGCGGACATATTATTATCGTTGTTATTGTTATTACTGTGGTGGCGGGCATTGTTGTTCGCGGTTTATTGTGCGGACGCACGCGGGATTTTCGAGGTGACGACGAAACGGGACAAAAATCGTTTTACCGTCATTTGTTTTCGGGAGACCCGCAGGCGGTTACAATATTATTGTAATAATAATAATAATAATAATAATAATAATAATAATAATATGGTAATAATTAATTATACCGTCGTTCGCCGTGTGGTGCGTTCATCCCCGTCCTCGCCCGCTGAAAACGTTTTCACCGGGGCCCGCAGACAAACGGAAACGGAGATAAAAATCGTCGGGTTTTTTTTATGTATTTTTCTGAATAACAATGAAAAAAGGTACGCAGATGTATTGTATATATTTTCACGGGTGTCCGGGTCGGAGGTGTAGGGGGATAGATTAGCGGGGACGACTACAATGATATTATAATATTATCGCGTGAAGCAGACATTTTTATTTTACTATTACCACACGGAATAGCCGACAATAATCGTCGATGCCGTGAGTAGAACTCTAACCCGCAATCCGTTTGGACCGGCGGCAGTGAGTCGGTAGACTTTAATATTTACAAATTGGCGATCAAGGTCGCACATAATTAATAAAAACACACGTTCATTAGGTTAGATTCCTTCCTTATAAATTATAATATTATTGTTCCTCGCGTCCGAGTACACGAATACCCGTCTAACTAATAATTGCGCGTGCCTCTAATGGCTGTATAATATTATAAGGACGAGCACGTGTACAGCACGTACGTTCGAGTGCCGTACAATCGTTAATAATTGTTTGTAAAGATAAATCTTTATAATCATTTTGCGACAGTGGAAATAAAATGGTAACCGCCAAGACGTTGATCGTTCTCGCCGTCGTCTATTGTCTGCTAATCGCCCGCGTCTCAAACACGGTACGCGGATTGAGAAACGTGAGTCCCGAAGGTACGTACACGGTATTTAAAATAGATACCTACCTAATTGGTTACAAATTACTACGAGCGATATTTTAAATTTATTTAACAACAACGTGGGTTAGGTCCATGGGCAAATTGGTTCTTGGTGGCTGTATACACCGCTCAAAACTGACAAACAAAATCATTACCCAAAACAAAATGAATTAATGTATCTAATTATATTCGACGGACGCTATAAAATTAAATTTTAAATGTTATTATAACTGATACTACTTATATTATACAATTAAACATAATTATAAATCTCATAGCTAATATAATATGTAGTGTATAATACAGTATAAACCGTTTATAATGACATTCTAGGGACTAGTCAAAATTAATCAAAATAACTGATTATCATTATAAAAAAAAAAATTAATTTTTATTAAAGTTTATAAATTTGAACAAGTATAAACACAATATGTATTTATATGAACATAATATTGTATTACAATCAATACGTCATATTTTTATCACTGAATCGTGACTTTAATATACATAAAAACAGTTGTTTTATTATTTTAAAATTAAATAAAGTCATTATAGATAACAGATTTTTGCAATATAATCAAAAATAACCGTCATAATATCTGTATATTAGTTATACAGACGACATAAAAATCTATATAAATGAATATATACAATATAGGAGTTTTCCGGGACTTTCAATCTAATGTCAATACACTCAATATGTCATTATATACGGTATCTACTAGATATTTATTTTAAAATATTAAAACAATTTAATTTGGTTTGTTGGAAAATTAGAGCCCTTGAAATGGATTAGCCCAAAAAACAAATTGCAGCTGTAGTAGGTACATTAATTACCCACACACACAATAAATATCAAACAAAATTGTGTAGCTTCAAATAAAGAATGCATTATATTAATTACCTGTTAATTTTAATTGTAATTAATTAAATACACGGGTATTTATTGGTTAAATTGTTCTTACTAAATTAATAAATTATTTAATATTTCTTTAAGAGCTTCTATGAAAATAAATTGAGAAACTTTAAATAGTATCAACATTTTCATTAATAATTGAAATTTTGAAATAAGTATATTAACAATTATGATTTTATATGATTTTGAATTGAATATTTTACACTAAAATATTATCTGTTAAAATAATTTATTTTTATTTTTATACATACAGGATATCCCTTTTGTTATTGATATAATTTATAATAGCAAATACAGTAAAGTAGGTAACTTGATAAAAAAGATAAACACGAATCAAAGAAATAAATTAGTAAACATGAAACAGTAATAGCGAGTAAACAGTAAAAAAATAAGTAGTTATGAGTAAGAATCTAAAAAGTTAAAGTCATTATTGGCACCATTCATTTTATCCATATTTAAAATTGAGATAAAATCAAAGCATCATTACAGTAATTAATCGAATAACTCTAATTCATTATAGTCTTATGAAAAACTGTAATTAAATAAATAATAATTCTAATTTTAGGTCCGTGCAACAAAGGAGAATTAGTATTTGTGGGGTTTTGCAACTTATGTTTGTGTAACAAAGAGGGTAAACCCAACCAGCTATGTGCTACATCATGGTGTCCAGTTAAAAAAAGGTTACCAACCAGAAGCGAACTACTCAATTCAAGCACAAGTTTACCATTCTCATAAGATCATCAAAGGTCGCTGTCCTAATCAGGAACACTGGATAAATTATTTCTATTTTAAAAATTATTCTTATAATTATTGAGTTTTAAATGTAACAATAATAAATAACAATTTAACTGGGCTAATTTATTGTCAAACTCTGGGTAAGATAAAATTAGACAAAAATAATAATAATATATTAATAGCAATTATTATAAGTTTAACATTAATCTCTTAACCATGTTATAATATATTACTGGTTTTATAAAAAATTATACATGTTAACCAGTGGTATTTTAATTTATTTTTAAAAATATAACTCTATTCTATATATATAATTTAGGGTGCCAGTTATTTTCAAAGTTAAAAATTTAAGTAGTGCCAGCCAGAAATTTATTTCAATATACCTAAAAGTAAGTCTTCTAAATTTTAAGCTCGATTAAAAATATTTAACAGATGCGGACTTAAGCTTCAGGTTTTATGAAAAAAGGTGACATTGTAATTTTTGACTTGTAATAGTTAACAATCATTATCGATAGACCTAGTAATTATCTACAAATAAGTATGTATGCATTTTTTTCATTATGTTAACTCTTTCTTGTGAAATTGAGAAAAATATATGCTCATTGCTTATATTTTTGAAGAACTCTTGGTTTTATTTTTTATGACGAAATAATAAAGAAATTAATGGTAAATGATGCTTTAGAAAAAGAAATAAAATTAATAGAAGAATTTAGTCAAAAACTAACAAAAGATGAACAGAAGTAATTTATATTGCAAGTAAATATATCAAAAATTAATTAATTTTATTTAATTACTTTATTTTATGTTTTAAACCGTACAAGATTGAAAAATATCAAACATCAACATTAAACATACCTACTTAAAAAATCATTTTAATAAATTTAATAGTTATAATTGTTTTATAATTCAAATTTTTATTATATTAAAAAGAATAAAATAATTTTGCGATTTGTCCCTTTCTTTTATTTTATAAATTTTACAAGAGTAATATTTTAAGAAAACACACATTACTACAATAGTTGTTATGTACTATTTATTGGTAACTTTATTATTTTAAAACAATCTCAAAAAAATAAAATCAAGAATTCTTCAAAAAATAAAAGTAATGAGCATATTCTGAATATATGTTTTGATATCACAAGAAAAAGTTAACATAATGAAAAGAAATACTTTGATACTTATTTTTAGGTAATTACTAGGTCTACAATAATGATTCTATATGATTATTTCATAAATTTAAAAATTGATCAATTATAAGCCAAAAATTAAAATTTTACTTTTTTCACGGAACTTTGAGCACCTGCAGCAGCAACCTTAAATTTGCTTAATTGGGCGTAAAATTTACGAAACTTATTTTTAGGTGTATTGAAACAAATTTCTGGCCAGCACTCTTTCAAAATTTAAATAAAAATATCTTTACTATATAAATAATTGGCACCCTTATATATATAAATATATATATATATATTTAATATTCATAAACAAATACACATAAATACATACTTATATAATATGTATTTATGTATGCAGCCACGTATACATACAAAAATCGAGAGGAGGAGGGGGTGTAATAATAAAACAAATTAAACATTTTGAAATATAAAACTAGTATAGAGTGATATGAAAGTAGCATTTTTCAATTTTTGTAAAAGTTAAACCTTTACCCTCTATCCTCTTGTATACGTGCCTGTATGCATGTAGTATATATAAATAAGGTACCTAATTCTAAATTCCTCTACATATTTTAACACCTTCACCATATTCATTTACAGCGGTTTAAATATAAAAAAATTATTTTACAATAAGCAATTACAACAATGAAATTGCATTTATTCAAAACTTGAACGAAAATCAACAATGATCCAAATAAAATATATATATATATATATATAAACAATTGCTAGGAATTAAAATTTTTATTATGTTTTGTCTCAAGGTGAAGTTGGTAAAGTAGGGTATGATTAATATGATACCTATAACTTTAATACATTATAGTTTGTTGAATAAAATATGATAGCAGGGTTTGTCGGGAACATAGATATTAAATATATGGATAGGCCACTTGTATTTTTTGAGTGCGTTAAATTTAACCAGGACAACAATTCAGCCCATTGACTTGTCACAAGGGGGAAAAACGTTATTAAAGAGGTAGATTTTTTTCAACAGGTATATTTAACATCTTAAAAATATCAGCAACTGTCTCCTCTGTAAAAGATAAATCAGAAATATTTATTTGAATTCAACTTTAAAATTACTTAAGCTTATGGAAACTCAGAAAAAATTGGAAAATCAAAACTTGAAAAGTCAAAATTTGAAAAATGCTTAATTTGGACAGGCAAACCTTGGAATTTGTTGTTAGATTTACACTATTAAATCATAATGTTTGTAATCAAAATGGAGACGGTAATTGACTTAATTACTGATAAACCGTGACCTCATAGTGTATATTACAAATTCCAAGTTTTATTACTGGATTTTAAGATTTTTTCCATATTTTGCATTGGAAAATTTTGATTTTCTAATTTTTGCTAGCAGTTTAAGCTTAATATCTTTTTAAAGTTGTTAAAGATCACAGAAAAAAGTTTTGTAAAATTTCTAAAAAATTAATTTTATTACATCTTCAACCATTCGGAAAATATATAAAAACTCTAAAAAAGTCAATTTCAATCTCAAAATTGATTCCTCTCTAATATATTACACACAATTTCAAAAGTTCTAAAATATAGACTACCCTTTCTATTACGTGTGTACAATAGGATCCTAGTGGTGCTTCTAATGTTTGTCCCTCTTGGTCTACAGCCTACAATGTATTAAATAAAGGAGTGGCTCGTCCATATATTTAATATCTATGGTCTGGAATAAAAATACTTAAACATAATTGATCAACAAAATAGAGTGTGTCAATTGAGCACACGCTTATCTTATTTACATTTGAATGTACAATTATAAAATATATCTTCACTTTAACTTTAAAAGAAAAAAATATGTATCTCAACCAATTTCATCTGACTAGATGTTTTCATTAATTAAATGTGTATAGACTATTCATTGATAAACACAGTGTACACCAATTTTGGGTTATCAAAAGTATTAACAGAAGTTGAATTCCAGAAGTATAATCAATATCTAGTTTTTAATATTTGCAACTAAATATTAGAAGAGTAAAACATAGATTATATTAATTTTATTATGAAAAAAACCCAAAATTCAAAAATTATTTATATTAAATATTCTTAAATGTTAGGGTTAGCTACGATGATTAAAACCTTTGGTATTATCGGGTCCACGAGGCTGTCTAATGACATTGTCTTCAATGGCTGAACGCACTATTGGCTGACGGAGAACTTCAAACTTTGTACTGCCTGAAGAACTAGCTCTACAAAAATAAAATAAATTTAGTTTATTAAGTAAAACCGTAACAATAAAATACAGATAAATGATTAAAAATCAAATATACAAATAATAATTATTTAAAGCATTTAAAATTTTGATTTTTTAACAAATAAAATACACTATAACAAAAATTTGAATAAAGTAATAATAAATTGTTTGATATAATTAGGTGATTTTTTTATTGTTTTATTATTATAAAAAGTTTTAACTATTTTTGAAAACTGAAGAAGCAAAGAGTTCTAAAATGTTACATTTTTATTTTTTTTTGTCACCCTTTCACAGGTGAAAAGACTACCTACTTTTGATTTTCAAATAACACCCTATATAAAAATGCTTTAAATAGATGGAGTATTAATAGTTAAAATAAATTGTGATGCTAACATTTATGATTTCTGTCAATTCATTGATGAGATATTCCAATTTTAAATTTGGGTCAGAGAAAGGTTGTAGTGGTGCAAACGCCACATTCTGTGCCACAAGACAAATGATGCTCCCCTACTCTCCCTTGACCCAAAATTAGAAGTAGAATATATCATCAACAAATTGACAAAAATTAAAAATTTTATACTAAAATTTATTTTAACTAATACTCCATCTATTTATGGATATTTTAATATAGATTGCTATTTGAAAATCAAAATTAGGAAGTCGTTTCACACTAAAATATTAGGGTGACAAAATTATGTAAATGTAAATTTGTAGAGCTGCTGGTTTCTTAAATTTTGTATAAAACAAATTCCAAAAAAATTTAATATTTTTAGAGATTATGAGTATGTAAGGATAAAATAATCACACAATAAGATAAAAATATTGAAAAATTATAGATAAACCAATCAAAAAAGTATTATACATATATTTATTAACAAAATAAAATATAAGCGAAATTTTATTTTGTTTTATGATATGGTATAGGCTTTGCCCAGTTTACAATAAATATATGCAGTACATACAATATTATTTCTGAGATTCTACAAACAAAATTATATTTGATAGAAGTAGGGGTTTTCATTTGTTTATTTTATAATTTGGTTCATCAGTTTATTAATAAATAATTGATTAAGCAAAGTGAAATGAGAAATTGTGAGTGGAATGTAATGTCACCTTAAAGTTGATGAACGAGAGAAAAGCAGGGGGAAATTAATTTTAGAGATCGTTAAGAAAAGTTAAGTTACAAGTATAAGGAATGTTAAAAATAAAGATAAGCTGATTAAATTAAGAATAGTGGTATAGTTATGGCAAACAAAGCTTAGGAATTTTATTTGAACCCGTTTGAATTGACGCCTGTCATATATAATCTATATAATGTGGGTCCCATAAAACTGAGCCATATTCAAGTATTGACCGAACCAAAATACAGTATAGAAACTTAAGGAATAAGTCAGTTTAAATTCACCAGCTGATCTTTTAAAAAAAAACCTAGTTTTGAATAATTTGAATGTGATGTGGTCAATATGATAACGTATGGAATGTGAGGGAACAAAGACAAACCCAAGTCTCAAGCAATATTAACAGAGTGGAGTTCAGAATCATTGAGTATGAGAAAACAATAGGATTTCAACTTGTGAAATAAGACATGATTGTTAGGGACAACTCGAAGGATCTCCTTATTTGAAAAATTCATCTAAACCATTCTGAAGCACTTTACAACCATCAAAGGAGTCAACCATCATAAATAGCTTTATTATATTATTAATACACCTTATTTTATTTTATTATGTTTTACTTATTTATTGTTATTTTTATTAGGCTTTTAACAATTATTAGTAAACTTATTTATGATGTACAGTCCCTAAATTTGTTTTAAACACTTTAAGGTAATAAGAATGTTTCATAATATTATAAATTATTTTATATGAGTACTCATGAATAAATATAGTGCATTCATTATTTAACATTTGATATTATTTGAATCAATTGAAAAAAATAATCAAATAAAAGTGTATTAAATGTTACCAAAACAAATTATTACAATAAAAATGTTTATCCACATCTGTTGAATAAGCCCAATTACTTAAGAAACAAACTATTTGCCGATTAATTTTTTCTTTAATAACAATTTATAACACAATAAATTGACAGTTACGCCTAAAAAGCAAGATACAATTAAATCTGTTTTTGACTACAACTAAAAACATAAAATCAAAAAATTTCCTATAAACTCATAATTTAAACAAATAAGAATTCGAAAATTGTAAAGTTTAAATTTCAAACTTTTTTAAATCTTATGTTATACAGTAAAAGATGCTTATTAAGAACACGGATAGTTGATACAATTGCGTTATTGAAACAAAATGTATATGGAAGAACTGGTCATATATTAAATCAATTGTATATTAAAACCAATCGTTTATTAGAAACAATCGATTAATTAACTTGTTTCACCTTGGTCCCAGTGTTCCTAATAAACAGTTTTTACTGTATTTCAAAACGATGTGTTTTTGTTATGATCCCTTTTTTCTTTTTGTACTTATCCAAAATTATAATTAAGGTAGCATTTTAAATATTAAGTTCTTCTCTGCTCATGAATTGTGAATTTAGAACTATAAAATCTATTAATTTTTTTTAAAAAAATCAACATTAGAAATTGATGTTTAAATTCAAAATACAACATTTTTACACAGGTCAACTAGGTAGTTAAGAATTGTATAATTTTTTTTTTTTTAATTTAAATATAATATTAATATAATTCATTTGTCTAACATTTTTAGTAATGAGTATTAAGAAACATGTAGGTCAATCATCAGTGACTGTAGTATGTCCTTGTGTAATTGTTTTTGTGAGAATTTTAAGAGCGTGAAATATTTGTGGAAGTCTGTCAAGCTAAATGACAGGATTCAGTCTGGTTTTGAATAACCTGGTAAATATATTATAGAGATGTGAAAAAAATATACTCAAAATGTCATGTTTCATTACATTTCAATAATAGTTTTACTATGTGCTTTTTTGATTGGCTTTTTTTTTATCTGTTAACAAATGTAATCTAGTCTTGAATTAAGGAGGTCATTTTATGGTATTTATTGTATTCATCTTCTTTACAACGGAAGTAAATATAAAAAAAAAACCTTCAGACAAATTTCTTTTGAAATCAATGTTGTTTTGTTTTTTTATAGTAATTTCATTAAAACTAAATGAAAAATAATCAAAGTGAACAGAAATGTTCATACATTAGCATTCTATAGAAATGCCTCGATCAGGTTCCTACCTTATAGGTCCTTATCTTATTTTAGTATTAATATCTGTATTATGACTAAGCTAACATTGTGATTTGTTTTAAAGACCCCTAATACTATAGATTTAAATAAATAATAAAAATTTACCCTTCATCATCAGCATTAATTTCTTCTTCGTGCTCTTCGCCCATTATTCGCAGTCTAGCTTCTGCATATTCTTGTTTTCTCTAATAAAAATATTATAATATATATATATATATATGTATATTAGCAATTAATCAATTTCAGACAAATTTGTAATTTAAATTTGTTATCATACTTGTTCCAGTGATTTAACTTGTACTTTAGGTTTATCAGCATTTTCATTTGCAGTATTGTTTTTCTGTGGTCGTTTAAGAATTTTAACAGTGGGCTGTTGAGGGATTGTCATTGGTTGATGGCGGTACGATAATTGTAGCCCGGGTGGCAGTATTACAACTTTGCTATTGCTAAAAATATTTATACAGAAAAAAATGTTTTAGATTTCCACAAATAGTATACACAGCACTAGTGTATATAATAATGGGTAAAGTATTAAATAAAAATAGGTAGTCACTTTTCATTTTTAGTTGCAGAAGCTAATTGCATTTTCTTAATCTGTGTACTGAGAACCTACATGAAAATGAAAACAGAAAATGGTCATCAGACTACATAATACACATAAGTGTTACCGCAGCAGAATAGGTAGGCACAGTTTTCATGGATTAGCCTAATTTACGGAGTTAAATCGAACACATGACACACCAGTCAACCGATATGTCAATGAATGTACTTAGATAACCAAACTATAATGAAACGGTTAACGTGACTTACAGACGGATCGTCCAGAGCTTCCCAACTTTCATACGGTTCTGTGCCCGAATCGCAAGCGGCCATAATATTGTACATAGTACTCACTCGGTGCGAAATCGAATGCGTATGTGCGCGTACAGATCGGTGTCAGGGGACTGCGAGCCGAGCCATAGTTGGCGGGAGCAACGAAAAACAATTGAATAAGTTCGGGTTTATCAATTATTATTGCTGAAAACGAACGGTATGTTATTATTATAATATCTTGTTATTATCTATCAGCTTGAAAAAGTTAAAACACATCGAACAACCAATGAATAACACAATACGGGTTGCGAATTATAACTACGGGTACGCAATGATATTACGCTAGCTATTATTATAAAAAGTGTATTGATATGGCCGTCTTTGGTTCCGATGACAATAATTTGACAACACGTCGAGATTACACACTCCGTCCTACGCGAGCCGTGTAATGTAAATCATGGAACAGACGACTATATCATAAATGGTTTTTTTTTTTTTCGGCCAGCAAATTTTCTTTGTTATGGAGTTACTAAGTTGGCAACAACACACACCGTCGTTTCTTATCAATTTCCGAATGGCACCGCCAAAATATAATTTTTCAATTTCAAGGTCGTCGAAACGTATGAACATCAATCGTGTAAATTCTTTTCGCTGACAGTTATATATCAATACTATTAACAATACGAATGTCATTGATTAATGATGAATGAATTTAGCGTGCCTATTTTTTTCTTTCAGCCAATACAAATCTGCTGAATGAGGGTTGAATTTAGACAGACAAGACAAAAAAGACGAATGTCGTTATTGGCGCCGTCCAGATCGGTGCAGTCGATGTTATCTTTTATGTTAAGGATTTTAAATGAATACATGCTAATTAGTAATTTGTATTATTTTCAATAATCAATATTAGATATTAATCAAATAAAAAATGAATAGAAGCCTACTTACAAAGTAGGCTTATGGTGAAGTCCTTATAAAATAAGTACTACACATTTTTAAATTTGCTACTGCACACTGAATATTAGCAACTGCACATAATGTGTGTTACTGCAAATACAGTACCTTAACAAATTTTTAATTTAAGTGCTAAATCCAAGTTATCAATATGTTCGAATACGCCACCGTGAGTGTTTTCGTATCAGAGATTCAGATGGGGTTGGCAGTATATTATCTATGAGCAAATAAATGAGTATTTCGAATTACCAGACAGTAAAAAAAAAAAAAAAAACTGTTTATATCACTAATGAAATAAACGGTTCTTATCAGTTATCAGCACGGCTATAGCTAGGCCTATGCAACTTGTGTCATTTAACACGGCAATAAATGTGCTGTTTGCGTCCGGGACCCGGTCGTGTAGCGCGCTCTACTTGTTGAATTTTATAGTTGATAAAAAAAAGAGTAAATGCTGTAATTTGGAACGAGATTAAGACCCGCCCAACTAGACTACAAAACAATACACAAGTAGTAGTATAATAATTTATCACAGAATAATAATGTAATATAATAATAATAATAAATGTCATTACTCATTATATATATATATATATACACACACGTGAAGAAAAAACAACAGCGTAATAAATAATAATATAACAGCAATTAATTGAGGAAATTATTTTTTTCAACAAGGCGAGTAGTGAGTACCTAGGTAGGTATCTACATTTTTACCAGTAATATTTTATTATATTAAACATACATCCAGGTAGATCCGTTTTTTTTTTTTTTTGTCAAACAGATTGTTGATCAGATTAGAAAATGATTAAATAAACACAACATTATTAAATTAATTATATTCGAATTTATAGTAAGTATATTTTAATAATTATAGTTTAATAGTTTTAAGAAGTACAAAATTTGGATATTTTTTTTTTTAGCATTTTCCTTCACTTTATCTCGAGTGGATTGCCTTGTATATTGTCTTGAACGCTTATTAATATAATATTTTATTGTAAACGATATTACATAATCCGTATGTTCAATACATGGAAATGTGAAAGAACCATACTTAGTTATTAAACCTTTAATAATATCATCAACTGTATTGCTAATTATATGTTTCATGAATTCATCTTTAATAGCTGTACAAGTATGGACGTTTTAACCATCCTCTGTTTTTAATATTTATAAGATTAGCTTCTGGATTTGTAAATGCTGATTTACATTTTAAGCAATTTGCCCATTTAGTTACTTGATAACTTATGTAGCCTGTCACATAGTACTTTTAACAGTCAACAATAGTTGCAATTGAATAATCGTGTTCAACCTTCAACGATGTCGGAAAAATAAATGATAAACTAATGAAACATTGTAAAAATTTGCAAAATAATTTGTCTGATAAGTCACTATATAAGATATATATTTATCAATTGCCAGGTTTCACAAATAGAGCGCGCCACATAAAGGGGTCTCGGACATTAACGGCACATTATAAGTTCACTATTTTTCTAGCCGCCAGACAAAATGTCATTAAGGCCGTGGCTATCAGTACTTGCCTACCTGAAATAAACGACACAGACAACTTATTAGAGAATATGGCTATTTTAAAATAGGTTTTAATGATTTAATGTGGACATAATAATATAATACATCGTGTTTCAACATTTTCTCAAATTGATAATAGTAGCATTGTATGGCTAATTTATGGTAGCCGTAGTTACCAGTAACTGCTAAAAATCAACTATCCATCTATAGGGTAAGGTAACTGTGTCGTCTATTTCAAGTGGGCAGGTACTGATAAGAACCGTTTATTAGTGACCGTCTGTTTTTAGTGTCCGTTTTCGAATGTATTAATGTTATGATTATCGAGTACAATATTCGTATAATTGATAACAATCATTGGTATTGTACATTTTGGAAAACGCACGGCACGGGCATACAAGACTATTATAAAAGCACCACCACCACCACCACGCGAAGACACGATGTACTGTGTGAAACCCGGCTTTGTGAAATTGTAAAATCAACATTCGTGAACACGGTCTTGGAGGAGGATACCACGATTTAAACCGTGGAAGATACGATGCTATCTCCGGAGACCGTGTTCGGAAATGTCGTTTCCATTCAATGATACAACTCGAACTCACCGCCGCGTTATCGTTCGAAAAAATGACGTACGCGCGTGTCAAGGTTTCTGGACGGAATCGAGATAGGGAATTTACTGGAGCGCGCGATCGCATACCCGCGCGCATAAATTGAAATACGAGCCGCCGGGCGGCGCCGGTTCAAACCCGATCCCCCCCCCCTCTCGCACCGCCGTACGGCAACGGACATGTTGTTGCGCGTGCCATGCGTACGTTGAATGATACGAAGAACTCGCTCTTTTTCTCGCTACAAATGCGATTTTAACGTACCCGCCGAATGGACATTTAAACAATAAACCAATTATACGCGTTTATGATATTTATTTATTAAGATCAATTAAAAAACAACCAAGTACACGGCGGGCCGCGTGTACGCGACTTATTAGTTCGTGCACACATTATAATATATACATATATATTACAGATTATTAGAACATTGATATGTATAATGTTAACCACGTTGAAAAACTGAAAAAAAAACGCGTAACATATCTTTTATTGAATACAAATAGTTTAATAGAGAATAATTGATTATGCGTATAGATTTTTGAAAACTTCACGCATATCAAATTGTTTTTCGTCTCATTAATGTCTCATTCTAATACTAATACATTTTTGACACATTCATGTAAATAATGAATACTCGTAAGTGTGTGCACCAAATTCAACGTCAATAGGATGTAAGTTCGCAAAAAAAAAAAAAATAAAGTATTTTTATTCAATATAGTTCTACTTGTAGTACTTTTTCGATAATTAACAATTTTCCATTTCTATGAAGATTTTTTCCTCTTATAACCACAGTCCGAAAAGACTTTTCAAGTTGTATAATTCATGAAACAGCCTTAGAAGTCATTATTAATTTATCTCGATTTACAGAAGTTGTAAAAGATGAATTTTTAATGTATTCATGGTCCACACGATTTTCTTTTAAGTAGCTGACAAAATTGTTTTAATAATCCTTTTTACAATATAACCACCAATATAATCTAATATATTTTTAACACAATAATTCGAATCAACATTATCAAGATGAATCAAATATTTTTCAAGCTCATTATCATCAGGAGTATTATTTGTATCAGATAAAACTGCGTTTTTAAGATCGGAATTTTAAAACATCACCTGCAGAGTAATAGAAGTTCGAACAATTTCCAGATTCAACAGTTATATTTTTTGTGAATAATAATTGCCGAAGAGTATTTTTAAAATTAACTGCATGAAACTGTACAGAACTGCCTTTTGTTTGTTTATCAGTGCATCCAAAGGCTGAACACGAAATTACCATTTTCACTTTGAATAGTAAGAAAAATCATACAAAAATAATAATTATCTTCAACAAAAAAAAGCTCGTCACAAATACGAATAAATTTATACTTTAATAGTTCAGTTTAATCGTTGTAAAACCTTAAAAACCATTAATTTAAACGACAGAAAAGTCAATAAAACGAAAATATAAATGTACAAAATAAAAGTTTTCGCCGTACGGTGGTGGGAATGATTATTATCACGGCGGCTTGTTTTTTGTTTACGAGCGCGCGCTCCAGTGTTTTCTTTATCTCGATAATAGATAATCTATAAACCTTGCATTCCGGTTGTAATATTTGATAAGGAAGCCTAGAGGTGCCCAAATTACGTAAATATTCATATGTAGGCGTTAGACAGGCAATAAGTAGGCAAAAACGCACGATAGAAAGTAAACTGTAAGGCGCTGAAAAAGTAATAAATAGATGTATGGCGCAATAAAACGGGCAGGCACTTTGACGGCCTATGAAAAATAGAAGAAAATCCCGCGGAATTATTTTTATGACCACGGGCATAAGAAGATCTATTTATGTTTCTACTTTAAACTTACCTGTCTACACTATATCCAGTTTTACTTTTGCAACTCCGTTACGCAGTTTAATCATGGATAATGGGTTATGTTAATAAAGTTATTTTTCCACATCAACTTTGACACCGCTTTTCAATTTTTAAGGCGTTGCATTTTTGAAATAACTTATTATTAACATAGAGGTTAATATCTAGTCCGCATTAAACTCTATCTAAATACCTAAGGTGTAAGAACGATATGTTGCTCCAAGTTAAAACCCCTAGGTGTTACAATTCAAAATTACACTACTTGACTATTTTTTACCTCCTTATCAGTTATTAAATCACGTTACATATACCTAATTATAAGTCAATAAAATAATATTATTACACAAACCGATTTCATTAGAAATTGATGACAACCGATGCGATCATTGTATTTTAATAATCTATAATAATATATTGGTATAACTTAACCAATAGATTAGAAAATTAAAAGTAAATTTACAAATAAATCGGTATAGATGTGTACCTATTTAAAATGATATAAAATATTAAAGTAGATTATAATATATTATAACTATCT